AAAATCTGCGAAAATCTGCTAACTATTTTTTAATTTCTGCTTTTAGTATAACATTCGGCAAAATCTGCGGCTTTCTGTTTAAAGCCGGAAATCATCGTCCCTGCACATGACCCATGAGTCAAACATCAGAATATCGGATAATCATAAAATCATCACGTTTCGTCACAGACTCTAAATAAAATAATTGTTCCTTTCTTGTTGAGCAAATTAGTAGAAAAAACACCCATCAAAATGAAACTTTCTAAGTGGCTTGAAAAAAATCTTGAAAACAATCTTAAAAACACCTTGGAAGAAACAATCGAAAACTTACTTCAGTTAGACCCTCCTATTAATAAAAAGGCTCCTGCACACAATCAAAAAAAGGCTTTAACTTCGTCGTTGAAATCTCTATTGAAAAACAATGAGTCAAAAAAAGAATATGAACCGCTACGCATATTTTTCTCTATTTCTGAGAGGAAACAAGATAATAAAAGGAAATTGAAGATTATCGAAAAAGAAAACCGTGCTGTTTTCAAAAAAGCCCGAATTTTTTCAAAATTTGTCAACATTTCTTACGGTACAGCCCTCACCTCTATACAAAATTCGTCAATTAATCGTGAATTTGGAGTTGAACAAAAAAGAAATTTGCAGGATAAACAGGAAAAAGTGCGAGAAATAAAACATGTTCATCGATCATCTCCATTGGCTTCAGAACGCGAATCGTCACCACCGATCCCACAAAGATTTTCATTTTCATCTTTGGAACAAGGCTCATATGTAGAGCCAATTCTGCAATACGTTGAAAGAGCATTGTTCAGGTTTATTGCAAGCAACGAAGAATATATTCCTTTGAAAGTTGTTAAAAACTTTACATCAAAATGCAATCCTCCACGCCAAGTAAATTTTTCAGATGCGGATTTATTTTGTATTTTAAATTTTATTATTCAAAATATCACTTTATTTACAACTGGAAATTCTAATCAGACATTATTTCATGGAGAATATGCGCTTGATCCATCTGAATTATTTAAGTCTTTTAACATTGAGGCACGCAACCATAATGCCCATGCAATCACACAGCCAATGGGAAGGTGGAGCGACGAAGAATTACAAAGATTGTCTACACTTGCTTTAAAAGTCATTGTGTGTCTAGGTAAAATTTAAAAAATGCAACTATGGGTTGGTTCGTTTTAGTTTTCAATTTGTTAACCCTTTAACCTTTTTCATGTTTTTATTGGGTAATAGGAGATAAAGAATCATTTGATCCATTGGTAAAAATTAAATGCGAGTTGGATAATAAATTAATAGAGCGATTATCCTTAACAACAGACCACCAAAAAAGATTTAATAAAGTGGTTAAAATCGCAAATCAAGAGGATGAAGATGAATATCATGCAGATTTGGTAGATTTCGCCTTGGATATCATTAATAAACTCAAATCATCAAAAGAAGAACATGTAAAGCAGATTTTACAGCTGGCTATAAATAAAGATAGCACGTTTATGAACATCTATAAGAGTTTGGTAATCCGGAAGGATAAAAGTGATAAAAGTGTAATTGTTGAGAAGTTCATAGCTATTATGAATATCCAGTATAATATGGTAAGTACATAAATACATAATATTTATCATCCTTTGTTACAATATGTGACTAATTCTGTATTACTATATTCAACAGAATCTAGAAGTCAAAAAAGTTTAGTTTTTTTTTTCTGATCCAAATAATCGATAATAATTATTTATGTTATATTACTGCATTAAAAACAAAAATATTAGCATGTATGAACATTAGTTTACTAGTCAAATAAAATATTCGAAAAATAAGTGGTATTATAATATTTGCACAAAAGTTTGGGACTTATATAATGATTCCATACTAAAATCTGCAGTCTATTATATTGTACATGTTTATTCTTTCAAACGATATCCTCCATTCTCATCCATTTAATATTCCAGGAATCTTTATTCAAAACATCTTCAGAAAATTCGAAGCTTAATGGTAATTTACTATCTTGTGAAATTATTCCAGTGATGTAAAGTAAATGCCAGCTCTGGGCTGTATCATTGTCATCCTCTCACACTTGTTTATTTTGAATGAACTTTCAAGCTGTTTGCGAATCCTTTTCTTTAGTAACACAAATTAGATTCTTGGCCTTCTAAAAAGATGTGTGGATGTATAATGTTAGTATATTCTCGAGAAAATGCCAAGAAAATTTTTATTAATACATGCAAAAAATAAATACAAAGCTCAGGACACATGACATCTATCTTCAAGTGTCGAACTAGCACTCCAGACTAGTTGGATCAGACTACTCAGGTCAGATTCCTTTTAGGTTTTGCCTTCTTATTGCCAGAATTTTTCTTCATATACTTTACTTTGCAAATTTTCTTTTCTGGGACGATAGATGCTTTGCATGATGCATAATCTGAATCAGATTTCTCAGATCCCTTCACTATTGTAATAGTATCTTCAGATGAACTTGATTCAGATAAATTATTTATGGATTCTTTGTTATAATTGCAATGCTCCATAGCAAATAGTTCGTCTACATTATCTTTTAGACAGTTCACATGTTCTTTTACATATTTTTCTAATTGATTAACCCTCCTTTTAAGCTTTCTATGTTAACAATAATAATCATCCAGCTTTTTTACTAACACCCTATTTTTGCCAGAAAGCATACTATATACTTCTGCATTTTGCTCATTTAGTCCAAGTAATTTGGCTATTTTCTCTGTACGTCTGATAACTTCCTGCTCGATATCTGTACTATTAGATAAATGCTTTTGATCAGTTACCATTTTTGTGATATATTATATATGCTATATTTTGCTTCGAACAAAAAAATAAAATAATAAATGATATTCCGTGGTCAAATAGAGACCCTAACCTTCTATGTGGCTAGTTTTCATCAGAGATCTTGAATGACCTTGTCCGATTATATGGTTCTCCTCTTTTACGCATATTGACTATAGTATATCTCTTAGATGGAGAAGCATGATTGTCAGGAGAGTGCCGAAGAGCTTCACTAGAATAAGTGTTAGCTTTTGATGGATTTTTTGGACTATACACTTCACTTGCAAATACTGATCCTAATTTACGCAAAGAGCTAGGAAGTAGTGGTTCACGACTTTCTGTTTCGGAAATAAATTCATCCTTTTTCAGAAATTTATTTAAGAATTTAACTCCAGGACTTCCTGGATCCCCTAACTTTCTAGAAG